CGGAAAACTGGGCCTACATTCATTTTTTCCATACATTTGTCTAAGAACAGCCAGTCCACGTGGTCGTAAGCTTTCTCAAAGTCAATGAAGACCACAACAACATTAAGTTTATCCTGCGTAGTTAGATTGAGGAGTTTATTGACCAATGAAATATTATCCTGAATCCTGCGGCCTTTGACAAACCTTGTCTGTGTTGGATGGATAATCTGGTCCAAAATCGGGATCAGACGGTTTGCCAGGGCTTTCGCAAACATCTTGTAAACGACAGTGAGCAAAGTTATCGAATAGTAGGTATATATAAAAAAAAAAAAAAAAAAAAAAAAAAAAAAAAAAAAAAAAAAAAACAAACAAACAGGCTTCTACCATTTTGGGGAGCAACAGTACGGTTCCTATTCCCCCGGCAAGTCAACGATGAATACAATAAGGATACTTATACGCTCCTCCCCATTATGCCGGGGAGGCCCGAGTGGACGGCATTGATTACTCCCTTTTGGAAGGATGTACCAACCCTCACCCCTGCCTAAGTTAGCCTGCTTGACTTAGAACCTGACACTGTAGGTAGGCTGGCTTCTGCTACTTCTGCTTGTGATTTGTGTGAAACTGCGTAGGTCTTGACTAGCTTACTCCTCTCAGCTGCTCGACTGTCGAATCAGATTTAAGTGTTGAAGTTGCTGGCCAGACTCGTTAACTGTTGGTTTTGCTAAGTAGATAAAACCTTAAGGGTTCTGGCATCGATAATGTTTTGAATTTTCCTATAAATCTGAAGTTGTAGATAGCTTTTAAGGCCTATGCCTTACACACTAAACCCTAACCCCTTACTCTCTCTCTACCTCTGTTTGTGTTTCTGGATTTTACTAGTGCTAGAACTGCTGATCCGTCCTCCTGTGGTGGAAATCTGTATGGGCCGTGCTCTGTGGGGCTGTATTTGATGTGTTGCTTATGTAATGACCCGCCAAAAACACAGACTGAGAACACTACTGATTTTTGGGATTTGCCGCTGGAATGAATGCCTTGTTGAAATTCCCGCATTCTGCTGTGATTTCCATGTCTGTGTGTGTGTGCGTGCCTGCTGGTTTGCATGCCTGTCTGAGTGCTTGTCAGTTGAGTGTGTGTGTGACCCGCAAGGGTACTTGTTGGTTGCAAGGCCCCGCAGGGCTGGTACTTACCTGTGGCCGTGACTGTGAAGGGTTGCAGGGGGAAAACACTCGAGTAGCAGGGGTAGGCCCGCGGCACTTAGAGCAGAGGGGAAAAACACTCAAGTAGCAGGTAGGCCAGTACCACTGAAGTAGTGGTAAAAGTGTCGGGTACTGGAGGCCGAGCAGAAGAAGACAAAAAGTTGGCATTTTTAGAGGCCCAGTAGCGGTAGGTTAGAGGTAGGCCGGTACCAGTCCAAGTAGCCCGGGTCTAGGGCCTGTAGGGAGGATAGCAGAGCCTGCAATGATGTTTCCCTCCGAAAGGGAGGAGGTACCGGTTGCTGGGAGGCCGCTCAGCCTAGGAAGTCACCGCCCAGGAGGCCGGTAGGCCGCTATATCTCCAGGAAGAGCAAAGAGTTCTTCCTCATTTGCGGTGTGCAAGGATTGGCGACATGCTGCTGGAGCGCAGCGCTGGTCTGGTGCAGCGCTGCTTGGAGGTGAAGGGCCGCTGGAGCTCAGCCTGGCTATGGCGAGCAGTCCAGCTTGAGGAGGAGGAAGAAGGGGGCATGGTAGGAGAGTGGCGAGGCACTTACCTGGCTATGGTAGACACCATCTTCATCACCTTGTTGGGCGCTGCATCTGGAAGGCCCCAGTTGGGGTAGTGCAGCACCAAGGAAGCTTGAGGCAGAGTCAGGCATGGCGGACCAGTCAGCAGCGGCATAGTTGCTTTGTGTTGTCCTTTGGACATCAGCGCAGCACCATAGCTGCTTTGGGTTTTCCTTTGGACGTCAGGGCAAGGCCCTCATTAGTCCGCCATAGCCTATGCATGAGAGAGGAGGCTGAAGGAGGGAAGCCATAGCTATGGTGGACTGGTTGTTGTTGTTGTTGTTGTTGTTGTTGTTGTTGTTGTTGTTGTTGTTGTTGTTGTTGTTGTTGTCGTCGTTGTTGAGTTGAGTCAGCAGTAAGAGGGAACTTCGGACATTGATTCTGGTTCATCCATTCATTGTTATTACTATTATTGAGAGAAGAATAAGATTGGTGAAGAGAAGGAGGAGGAGGAAGGTGGAGAGAGAAGGGGGAATTGTCATTGGTCTTGCTGGTGCACATCTTCTTCTTCTTCTTCTTCTTCTTCTTTACCTCTCCTCTGGTCTCTATCTCTTTGCAAGTGCTTTCATTTCTTTCACAATTGGGTGGCATTGTCTTTCATTGTGAATTTGCACTTGGGAAATGACCAGGATCGTAACACTTACTAAAACCCTAAACCCTAGCTCCCCTCCCAACCTTTGTAGGTCGTCTCTGTTCTTGCTGGTATAGCCATTTAGAAATTCTACAGGGGGTAGAGTGGTGCTCTGGTGGTTCTTCTTGTTATTCCTGGTAGATGGTAGGGTTATTCTGTGTTCCGTTGGTGGGGTTGACTTGGTTGTTTTTGGCTCTTATGGCCTGAGCTTTCCTCCATCAAGGTATCCCGAGCTTATTATCCTAGCTATCTTTTCCTGCCGCCATAGGGTTTACCTCCTGATGTTTGGCTCTATTGTGTTTGAGACTGCTTCTGTTCTCTGCTATTTGAGTAGTCTTTTGGGTTAGCTAGCTGCGGGTCCTATTGTTGGGAGAACTTATTCTTTTTTGCTTCCTTAAACCCATAATTTTGTTCTCTTTCTTTCTATTGCTCCCCTGTTATAGTAGTTGGCCGTTCCCTATTTTGATTTCTGGTTCTTTTTCCCTTACGGGTTTTGTCCTATGGTCTCTTCTTGCCTCCATCCTATCTTCTGCGTAAATCCTAAGCCTTAGAGGGTGCATGCTAGGTGTGGGTTTGTCTCTGTCCTAGGGACCTTAAACCCTAGACCCTCTACCTGCCGTGTTTCCCTGTTAGGGTTGGATGGGGCAGAATATCCCTTCTTGATCACTCCAGCTCCATCGGTGTTTCTCAGTCTTCTTCTGTCATTGGGGGGGCTGGATCCCACCAGTCTGTGAAACAGAAGGTTTTTCCGGATACTCGTGCCAATAATCCTCCCTTTAGCCATGTCTTCTCAAATTCTTTCCGCAGTTTGGTCTTTTTCTGTACTTCCCCTTCCTTCTCCATCTTGCTCAATGTTTGTTTCCATTCTGGACGGTAGTTTCTGATATCCATCGTATCCCCTTTTTTGTGCAGCAAAGTGAGAATACCTTGCCCCACCAACTCCCCCATACGCCCTGTCTCCCAAACTTGAGAACCTAATCCCAGACGAAGACAGATCGATTATAGAGATGTTAACGAAAACAGCTATATGGATGATATGGGTAAACTGGAGAGCCAGATGTGCAGGAGCAATAGGAAGCAAGAAAATAACCTGGAAGGAAGCAAAGGTAATGGTGGAAGCTGAAATTTAAGTATAATGGAAACGCACCGTGGGAGGATGGATAGAGATGAGGAAAGTTTGAAGAAGACAAGAATGGAGAAGGAATTTGAAGGAACATGGCTAGATGAGGGTTAGAAGCACGCATAACTGGAAGAACTCTTCACTTCACGGATTGGTGGGACTCGGACAAACAGACGACAGCACTAGATGAGACGGTCCCAATGGACCTGGACTAGTAAACCCGAACTGCTCTAGTAGGCACATCAAATATGACAGCCTAGTAGCAGAGAGAAGCAAACACGGGACAGAACTCCAAGCAGCACCAGGGTCACAAGCCTTACGGAGCTAGGGACCCCAGAGCGAACCGACCGCAAGGGATTACAATTTAGGCAGAAGAAAGGAGGATATTAGAACGAGAGAAAAAAGGAGAGATCAGAAACAGAACTAGCCAAGGGTGCAGAGACACAGCTATACTAAAGGCTATAATTAGCTCCAGAGAAAAGGTCCCCTAGGGTTTAGGGTTTTAGCAAAACCAAAAGAGAAGAGTAGTTCTCGCTAACTCTAACATCACACGCCAATCTGACAGCTACATAGCTGAGAGGAGCAAGACAACAAGAGACACCGCAGTCACGCTACACCAAAACACCACAGATACATACTTTGCAGTATTTTTCCTTCCACAGAAATAATTCAAGCAGGCTAACTTAGGCAGGGGTGAGGGGTGGTACATCCTTCCTATTGGAAGTAATCAATGCCGTCCACTCGGGCCTCTCAACCAGAATGGGGAGGAGTGTGTGTGAGTACTCATTGTATACCGTTTTGACTTGCCGAGGGAATAGGAACCGGACTGTCACTTCCCAGAATGGTAGGGGCCAAAACCAGGAGGTTGTGTGTCTTTTTTTTTAAAGAAAAGAAAAAAAAAGAAGATACAGCTGGTACTGGCATGGTAGGATCGAGGGTTATAAAGGATGAAGAGCCCCTGAGTTTAAACCATCAGTGCTTTTGACCCTTCCCTTGCCGAGCCTGTAAACGCCCTGCGAGCCAACCTGGTGCGGGCCTCCTTTCGGCTGGCGCCGCCAGACATTTTGCTCCAGTATGCCAACCCACGAAACTTGCAGTGTGTTGACGGACACGTCAGAGAAAAATGGGTGGGCGAAGTACTGGTTGTTTAATAAGAGACAGCATGGGTGAGTCATTCCATGTCCAATGCTTTTAACTTTCCATACTCGTCAATGCCCAGCAAGGGTATTGCTTCCACCAGTTGATGGAGTCTATAACCTCAACCCCAACAAGTCCTTCACACCCAATGTTCCTTATAAGAACTGGATGCCTTTGCCGCCTTTTCCCCTTCCGCTCCACCTTCTGCTGATGTTGCTCCTTCAGCCACCAGTCAGGAACATGTCGCTGGTGATCCTTCTCTTTCCCCTCTGCTTCTCTGTTTCTGTTTCCTTCCTCCTCTTCCTCCTCTTCTTGCTTCTTTTTCTTCCTTATCAATATGCTGTCTTGCATTTGTACGTTTGGAATGTGACAGAGAGTTGGCAAAGTGAAGACGGGAACCTTCGTCCACATGGCTCAGAATGGTCAACTGCTCTGCAGGTAAGGAGTCATATGCATCCAGGACCACTTTCGCATAATGACGTTGAGGCCAAATCAGCTGGCTAAACACTCTTGAGCACTAAATGACCATTTGATTAAGAGGTCTTAAAAAAGACTGGCAAAGAAACAAGAACCAATTTTGTTTGTCAAAGCCCAAAGGACCAAAAAGCACAGCACTTCAGACGGGTTTGAGGCTTGGGTTGTCAAATGGATTCAAAGGGTTTCACAAAAGCTGCCATTACAGCCCAGACCATTAAGCCGGACCCTTGATATTTTTTTTTTGAGGCCATCATGACCTCTGAGTCCGAGAGACACTCCTACATCCCCATAGGGGCTCTAGGGATCCAAAGATCAATAGCCTCTAGAGGATCACATATAGTATGCTCTCTCAGTCAAGAGTCCACTTCCTCATGATGGAATACAAGTGACTGGCTCATGTTCATGTACGTGTTGTTTCCACTTTACCAGATGTTGCTCTGGTCTATCAGTTTGGCCTGGACCGGGTCATGACTTCTGTTTTTCTTGTCGTGGCCCACTGGTTTCATTTTGCCCATTAGCCCCCACACTTTTTCCAAGTCAGCAACATAGCCAGAAGCTAGACCAGTACCCGGAGCTAGCAAGAGATAGATGCAGGTTTGTCGATATCAGGAGTGAAAACCGGATCAGGTGTGCCCGTCGTGAGTGGATGAGTGAGTGAGAGGTAGAAGGCGCTCGCGAGAGTGCAGCTGCCAAGAATAGAGTGGGCATAGGTAGATGTGAGCTATGACTTTACAGTGTTTATTACACTTGTCAGGGATATAGTCTAACCAACTGACTTGCATGCCCGTGCATGTTAAGGCTTGAAATTTCAAACCCCGAATCCACAGTTTGGTGCTCTATGCAATTGAGGTAGAACCTACAAACATATTTTGAGGTCCCTTTCATGTAGGGGTATAGGATATCGGTTTTCATGGTGAAGACAGGTTCAAATCCTGTAAGAGAAGGGCGCCAGGTTGCACTGAAAGGACAGTGGGTAATTTCTGATCTGCATTGAACAGTCTCATGCTATTCAGACACCAGGCAAGAGGAGCCGGAGGTAAAGAGCAGGTCATACCAGTTCATAGTACTTCATACACAGGCTCAGCAATAAGGAAGAAAAGCTTCGGGTACGACCACCATCATGCTAGACCAGTTCCAGATTCCATCGGCACAGGTCATGTACTGAAGAATAGCCCTGGTGAAGAGCCGAGGAGAGAAAGATAGTTGGCTGGCTTCCTCGCAATGTGGTTAGTCGAAGAGAGAGGAGGCTGGGAAAGAAATAGAAAGATTTGGTGTCCTCAGCTCCATGGCTGAGTGTTACACACATGCTTTTGTTGATAAAAGGATCCCCGTTTCAAATCCTCCTGGAGCCAGTAATATTAGGGGCATTCCCCCTCCAAAAGGTAAAAAGAAAAGGATGTGGTGCCTGTGTGTGAGATATACAAAGAAAGACACAGAGAGATACAGAGAGACAAAGAGAGACGGACATCAAAGTGACATCAGAGAGACCGGGGGAGGCAGAGACAGAGAGAGAAACCAACAGAGAGAGACAGAGGGACAGAGAGACAGAGAGACAGAGAGACAGAGAGACAGAGAGACAGAGAGACAGAGAGAGAGAGGGGGAGAGAGAGACAGAGAGCGGCAGAAAGAGACAGAGGTAGGGAGGCAGAGAGGCCACAAGGGACAGAGACAGAGACAGAGACAGAGAAGTCAGAGGTTAGCTGCCAGAGTTAAGGAGCAGACACAGCCCTTTAGGTAGGGGAAAGCACAGTAGAGTTCTTTAGGTTGGGGTGTCGCCACAGAGAGAACAATATGAAATGAGACAGAGAGGAGGTTCTTCGTTGTGATCCCACAAGAAGAACGGCCTGTTGCAGCTCGCTTGCAACGAAGTCGTGGTGTGCAGGTAGAAGAGTTTCGAAATGAGGGTGACTACCAGTAGAAACAAGCGAGAAACTATGCAGAAGGAAGGGAACACAATCCATTCAGTTCGTGGAACTCTTATACAATTTCATTGGGAAATTTATCCACTAATGTCCAACAACTTGGCCACTGTGGTCAGATATTTTACTCTGTTTCCCTTTTGTGGGCTTTGCCACTGACAGTGAGGCTCGAGCACTATTTTTTTAATTTTTATTTTTTCAATCCATTTTTTTCCCCTTCTTCCTCATTCCCTCCCTCACACACCACATATCATGCAGCGGTTGAGATTAGGCTAGTTTTTCATTCGCTGTTTTTCATGTTCCCATCCACCTTTGTAGGAGAAAGGCCTCAGTGATTTAAAACAAGTTTGCAGTGGCATCCTTGCCCCTGGACAGGTAGGTTACCTGGTCGGGCGCTCGAGCTGCCTTCGGCTGTCTGGTTACTAGGTGGTTAGCCCGCCCACGCCAGGACCGGGCAAGGTACAGGGCAGCCTCATCAGAAAATCCAACAAACTTCAGACAAGACTATGGAAAAACTTCCGAAAAAGGCATATGTTGCGTACAACTGTAATGTAAAGCTGTGAGCAATTTTTGGCTGAGGATCACTTTGGATTTCCTTATTAAATCAATGACAAAAAAGAAAAAGGAAAAATGGAAGAGTTTTGAATTTGCATTTCACGTCTCAAAGTTGGCCGTAATGCTCCATTGACCCAAAAAGCCATGGGTAGAGCGGAATGTCATTCTGACCGTGGCCTTGGCGGGACTGGGGCCCCTCTGCAAACACCGATGTGACATGGTTGTAGATCCTCTTGGTTTTTTTTTTTAACTCTATCCCTCCATCAGCCAGGCAATGTACATTCCTGCCCAGTGGAGGGTCCACCACTGGAGATGGTTCTGATCAGGACTTGCTGAGAAACGGGTTCAGTGTTCCGTGAATAGCTGGTATGCAACCAATAATCCGAAAGCCAGAAGAGCATTGATAACGCCTGAGCAATCCAGAAGATTGCCTGTCTGCAGATGAAAGAAGGAACAACAGGGCAGGGCGCCACGCCTCATCAGCTACGCCTGAGTGGCCACCCGTGTTATTCCCAAATTGTTGAACCTGTACTCCCTCCTCCAAACCAAACCAGCGTACTTCATCTAAGCAGTTTTATGCGCAGAAAAAGGGTCGGCAAATTCTGTAGCCGGCGTCTTAAAGAAGGAGGGATCAATGTTAGATCAATCTGCTAAAGAGAGGTGGATTCTCTGGACGTTAGCAAGTCCACCCCCAATCTTTGCAATGGGTCTGTGCTCTGGGTTTCTCAACAATTCTGTCGTAATTTCGTAAAGTCTTTGATCTTGGTTTCCTTTTCTTCGGCTCATTTGGGTGTTTTATGCCATCCGGTATCTTATACCATTCTGTCAGGATCGCAGTCTGGATAAACTTCATCATCTTTTTTTTTTTTTTTTCCCTGGGTGTAAACAGGGTCTTACGACCCTGGCTCCATATCCATTCTGGGGAGTGTCAGTCCGGTTCCTTTTTTTAAAAGGGCGACGGCCTTGAGATATCATCATTAAATTGACCGGCCCCAAGTAATTTAGAATGATTTTATTCTGGTGATCTGATTGTATCTGGATTCGAAGTTGGGTCTGTATTTGAACAGTTCATGGGTGTACCAACTGAGCTAGGCCCATTGGTGCGTCAGTCCTGTTCCTATTCCATCGGCAAGTCAAAATTATTCATAAGATACGCACTCCAACGCTTCTCCCCATTCTGGCTGGGAGACCCGAGTGGCAGCACTGATTGCTTCCCTTGGGAAGGATATACCACCCCTCATTGCAGACCCCAACCCTTAACCGAGGAATTCTACAATAGAGCAAGTGCAGCCCTTAAGCCCTGGATGTCCGCATAGTCCATATAAAGTTATTGTAAACCCTAAGCCCTGAGTGGTCCTGCATCCCTGTGGCGATCAAGCAGCCCTTCATCATCCTATTTGTTAGAACCTATAATCTCCACAGCCCAGCCTGAAAGGTCAGGTCTACTGGATTGCAGTGACTCTGATTGACATGTGCATTGGGTTTGCAACTTTGCACCGTTGCACCAAATGTTTTTTCTTTCCTAATGCAAAAGAGCTTATCCTACATCCCTGATGTTTTTCGGATTTTTGTCAACAGAAGCAAGGACTAGAAATCACCAAAGTTGGGTAACTCGATTTTTGTTGACCCCCGCAGTACCCCGCTTGGGTCCGATAGGCCGAAGCTTTCCCCGACGTTGTTGTGAACAGCCACAAGTTTCGATAGAAGGGTGCCAGGAGTGGGGGTTTAGATGAGAGCCACATGCACACAATTGCAAGCAAAGCTGCAACAAGCCCACTGGCCATTCATTGGTAACATTCATGCCCACACATAGTGCTTGTGGTAGGTCCATGCACCAACCAATGCCACTGAGGTGCAGGGTTGCACCCACTGATGGTCGGGGACCCTTGACTGGTCGGCACCTACAGATCGGGGGTTGTCGGCACCCCGCAAAAAAAAAAAGAAAGAAAGAAAAAAAGGCTTCCAGAACCCCTAATAACACCACCAACACCCCCATAGCAGCCCCCAATAGCCCCATACACCCCCCAAACCGCCCCCAACACCCTCATTGCCCCCCCCAATACCCCCTATATCACCCCTATACCCCCCCTATACTCGAACCCCAACCCCATACCCCCCCCCCATACCCAAAAGTTTCTCAGCGGATTTGGGCTGTACTCAGCAAGCGCAATACAGCCCCCAACTCAGATTTGAAAAAAAAATCAGTGGATGCCACTGGATGGTTTTTTTTTTTTTTTTTTTTTTTCCCCTGACTGGTCGGCAGACCGCCGACCGGTAGGCCCTAGTTGTTGGCTGCAATACGGTCGGTGGACGGGGTCGACGGTCGGCAGGGATGCAACCCGGCTGAGGTGATAATAAACTTTTCAACGTTTTTCAGCAAAGGGGACTGAGGTCTTTCGTCATTTCTTCTTCTCTTTTCTTTACCGCTGTGGAAACTTCTCTTCTCGTTTCTCATACGTCTGTGTGGCCTCCCTTTGGTTTTCATGCAGCTGCAAATTCCCAGGGGCTTATTTCCTGGAAATGAAGGGCCAAGTTCTTTGGAAAGGAAAGGTGGCGTTGATACTCTCTGACAGCTGCAGTGTCGATGATTCCCCACAAGCGGAGTCAGAGGAAGCTGCAGAGCATGATTCCTTCAAGAATCAGCGTTCTTCTTCTGGTGCAGCAGTGGTCTCCGAGACATATCCCACACAAATTGGTTGACTGTATTAACAGCAGGCATTCACTATTGAACAGGGCGCAGACGTTTTTGGCAATCTGCTCAACTCCTCAAGGATGCAGGCATGGCTGCATGTTGTCAATTTCAGACCTGAGAACTGCAAATGGTGGCACTTGGTTACCTTACCTTCTCCACACACAAAGTCAAGGCACCAACTTAACTTAACAAAGCAGTGTAAACACTGTAAAGTCTTCCCCGGCAACTTTTCTTTCACCTTTTTAAATCGGAAAAAAGACGTAGTTGACGGCATGCAGTCTAAATGTGAAGCATGCCTTTCTGCTACCAGACTTGGCTCAATCGTTGCAGTCTGGGTTCAGTTTGCATGAATGTAGCCATCAATGAGCAGACCAGGGGTGTGCTCAGGTATGGCGGAAAGACCCAGACCAGCCAGGACGTTCAGACACCTAGGGGTCTGAGTCCAAGACAAGGTTGCATGATGTTGAGCTCGGAGACGACAACAATGGCATGGGGAAATAAGTCAGGTATCCATATCGAAGGCCAAGTTGCGGCAGCAGAGAATAAAGTTGAAGTTGGTGGGAACAGACGTCACTGATCCAAGGCAAGCGTGGAGGCCTGAGGGCCTAGAATAAAAGCCACCAAGCGTGCGGGTATGAAGTAGAATGCACGCCTCCAAGAAAAAGAAAGCCAAGGGTGGATATACACTGCTCCTGAAGCTTGAGCACATTCAGCCCATGTCAAGATTCACTCTCTCACCAGTGTCGAGCTGCCATCTACCTTTACATTAGCCAGGACGTATGATTTTACTGTTTGCTTCTGATTACCTGTTAGAATGATTTGTCTGATCGAATCTGGACGTCTGCACAAAGCCGAAAAGCAAGTGAATATGTAAGCATTCTTTTGACCGTGCATTGGCCCACAACGAGTACAGAGCGACATGCGCCGCTCATGCCCTACACAGGTCTGACAACTCTTAAAATAAGAAACATTCATCGAAAGATTTGAAACCCAAACAGGTGCCTTCCTTCATGCGCACCATCCAGATTCTACATGCAACTTTAGGAGTGCCCTTCCAGCGACTGACGTGTTCCGGCTGGTGCGAGAACCAGCCTCATCAGGGGGAGCTGTGGATCGTGCATTGGCTCAGGAGCCAGCCACTTTGCTCTTGGCTTGCGTGGCCACTTGAGAGTTACCGGTCAGCCCACACCCTGGCTGCTGTCACTTTTGGTCCTTACTGCTAGGCACCCAACCGTCTTCACACAAATATGACGCCCAGTCGTAATAGCTGTACTGGGGCATTTTTCAGTCCAGATGCAGCGATAATGACCGGGCGTTCTATTCGGGTGAAGACGCTAGGGTGCACTGGAACTTCGGATGTACTGTGCTAGCAAAATTGGACCATCTCCATAACGGGTGAAATTTCAAGCTTTCTTCTCGTGAAGACTCCTTGGTCATTCACCCGTCACCCAGCACTGTTCATAGTCCAATGGTAGGAAACCCTTGCATTTGATGCCTTCTGGCACATTTTTTCAGAAGCAGGATCTACAAAGACAGTCAAGAATGTTGTCTTTGTGTTTACTGTTGCACCTTCACAGGAGATCCATACACTTCACAAAATCTATGCTGCAGCAAGCCTTCTCTGGGCTTAGGATAGGTCGGCAATGGCATATGCTGAAGGATGCTGCGAAAGAAATGCACCTCTTTCTCTAAAAATAGCGGTTGAGTCAAGCTTCCTCTAGGACTCCTGTTGACGTGAGTGAATATTAAAAGTTCGATGCACAGCAGTTGTAGACCATGACCAAAGGCTAGCAGGGGCTGAAGCTCACCTTTGCAGTTCCTTCTCCACGAGAAAAAGATGTGCAAAGTTGCAAACACTCCAAAGTCATCACAAGCGAAAGCACTTCTGGCTCCCAAGAGCGATCATCCACGCTTGAGAGAGAATGAAACTGCAAAGCAGCTTCAGCATACACACAGAAGAAAGAAGAAAGAAGAAAGAAGAAAGCAGTTGCATTGCCAGTTTTGGTCCCTTCATGAGGTGGTGCATATCCATCCCCAATGGGAAGAAAAGGGTGGTCCAAAGCAGTTGAGGAAACTGCAAAGCAGCTGCAGCTCTCTAATGAAGGCAGAAAGCAGCTTGACATGGAGAGAATGCGTGCGGGCTTTGTTTTCCGTGAAATGATGATGCACAAGTTATTCTGAGGGAAAAAGCGATCCCAAGCACAATTGACTCAGAGAGTCAGAGTCATAATTGCAAGGGACTTAGCAGAAATACAAAAGCTCACTCACTATGGTCTTCCCCTGAACGCAACTCTCCCTGAATACGAGTGTATTCAAGCTACCTTTCCGGTGATTAGGGTGTGTTGCACTCGGGGGAAGTGGTACTGCCAAATTGCCAATCACATCTAAAAATCATGCGCCGGAGGATGACATTGCGTGAAAGATGACCGATTGCAATGAACCTCTTAGTGCAACACCAGTGAACGCACATATTCACACCGCATGCATACATGAGATCACACGAAGTTCTCACTGAAGACCAGAGAGATTAAGACCAGATAACGCAGCTTATGAACTCCAACAAGTTATACAAGAGCAAAAGAGTTCCGAGTCACCAGCGCACAACAGCGCTTGTCATACATGAGATCACACGAAGTTCACACTGAATACCAGTGAGATTAAGACCAGATAACGCAGCTTATAAATTCCAACAAGTTATACAAAAGCAAAAGAGTTCTGAGTCACCAGCGCACAACAGCGCTTGTCATAGATAACCAAAACACCCAACAGAAATCACCCAGGTAAGTAACTTCTTCCTCTCTGCTCTTCTCTCTCTGTTGTATCACCCCTCCTTGCTGGTCTTCTCCCTAGCTTATGACCTCGGTGTATCTTCCCTCCCTACATGCATGCACACACACACTGACTTCTACTCAAGGATCTACTCTGAATACACCCACTGTCAACTTTACTAACCCCTCTGGAGTCCACTACTAACAACTAGCACTAACACTTCTGCACTGGCGCAGCTATGGCTGCCTTCTCCCTGCCAGCGCTATCTTCCTCTCTCTCCCTCACTTAGCCAGCACTCTGGCCTCAGCGCTCTGCTCCTCACTTCAGCGCACAAGTGCACCCGCACTTCCACGCTTTTTGCGAATGAGCCATCTGCCTGAATGTGAGGCTGGCCAGTCCTTTTGTAGTCTTGGTTTGCACTTCAACTCGTGCCAGCCTCTGTTTCTTGGGTCCTGACTGGTTTCGGTACCACATCCCCACGGCCTGTCAGTTACTGAATGTCAAGGTCTGGAACCTTCCCGAATTTCCATTGGACTGATGCTGCTTGGGCCTTCGAGTCATGACTTTTCACTTGTGAACATGACTTTTGACTGTGAACAGTGACTACTTCCTATGGGTCACGACCTTTGCCTATGATTCTACCTTTTACTCGTGGGATGTGTCTCTTCAATACGACTTTTCATTAGGAAACGTCACTCCTACCTTTGAGACATGACTCTTGCTTGGTGAATCTGCCTTTTCACTTGTGGGATGTGACTCTTCTGAATGGTTTTTATTATGAGACGTGACTCTTGTCCCTGAGACGTGACTATTTGTTGGGTGCCTGTTGGACCAGACTGCTGAGGTACCTGATTGTAACTTTCCTGAGTTTGACGAACTCGGCCTTTCCTTGACCTGGGCATCTGACCCTGAAGTCCTAATTTGGGGTCTGAATCATGGAAGGCCTTTCACTCTCGCCAGCCTAATTTCGAGGTCCTCCGAGAAAATTACCAATTTTTATCTCTCTACTATGTTAACTTCTTTTTTAGCTCTTTCATAGTATGACACAATATGCGGTGCTGTTTCTATTAGTTCTTCCCTCGTGAACCAGCGATCTTCTGTAGGTTCTTGATAGGCAAATCTGACCTTATATTGTTGTTGTGGTCTACCCCTGCGTCCAGATCTATAAACATCTTCCCCAACAATTCTATCCACATCATACTTTCCATCCATATCAGGGGGAATCATAGATCTGCGTGATGGAAACATGTCGACACAATTCTAACCAACGCAAGGCAATAACTTTGAAGCGTGGAACATCGGATACGTGTGCAAATGTGGAGGAATCTCGACAACATAAGAAGGACCATCGACATCACCAATCACATCAAGAATCTGCCAGGGTCCCCGATAAGCAGGTAATAACTTCTGAGAAATGTTCTCCTCAGGGAGAAACTCTCTTGACTTCACCCAGACTAGATCACCTACAACAAATTGTGAAGGTTTGCGATGCTTATTAGCCTGTTCTATCATTTGATGTTGTGCCTTACTAATGTTCTCTTTAACTTTTTCTAGGTCTTTCTGATATTGGATAGCGAATTCCCTGGTTCCTGGCGGAAGTCTCTGTACTTGATCAAGGTTTAGACAATCAATGGGTCTACGAGGGCGCCACCCTAGATGCAGTTCAGTAGGCGTTCTTGATGTAGCTAGATGCACAGAGTTGTTATAGGCACTTGCAACTTTTGGCAGATGTTCATCCCAGTCAATCTGATCTGGCAGGATGTACATGCGCAGCACTTGTTGAAGCAGCTTATTCATCTGCTCAGTTTGTCCATTCGTCTCAGGGTGTCTACATGAAGACATAGTCAGTTTGGACCCGTATACCTTCATTAGTTGCTGCCACTGCTCTCCTGTGAACCGTGAATCCCTATCACTTACAATAGTCAAGGGATGCCCAAAATCCTTCACCCAATGGTTAAAGAATTCCCTAATCACCAATTAAGTTCTTGCTTCTCCAGAAAGTGGAACAAACACAGCGAACTTGCTAAACCGGTCTACTATAACCATAACCTGACTTTTTCGTTTCTGCTCTTTATCTTAGTGTCCATAAAAGTCTATAGACACGGAGTCACCAGGTCCCGACAGAATAGGTAGCGGTCGGAGTAATCCAAGGGGAGGTTGTGTGGAACTTTTGTTCCTTTGACAAACTTGACAGCCTTGCACATAAGAGATGCAATCATGCTTCATTCCTAGCCACGTGTAGGAGTGTAGGAGGTTAGCATAAGTCTTCCTCCATCAGAAGTTCCCCTCGGTATCGTGGTTTTCCCCAAGTATTATACTACGGACTTCTTCATTGTTCATAACACATAGTCGGTCATGGACATCTGTTTTTTGAACTTTTTCAAACAGCAGTCCCTTTGTTACTCTATAGTCCGGGACTTCGTGAGGTGCCGTCTACA